TGTGTGTGTGTGTGTGTGTGAGGAGAGAGAGCGAGATGAGGTTGTGTGCGTGTGTGTGTTGTCCCTGGGTGTGCCTGTCGCATCGTTGTGTGGACGAGAGAGAGAGGTGTGTGTGTGTGTGTGTGTGATGCTGCGTGTGCTGTTGTGTTTGTGTCGTGTGGGTGTGTGTGTGTGTGGTGTGCGGTGTGCTGTGTGTGCATTGTGCGTGTGAGAGACGAGAGAAGAGAGAGAGAGAGAGAGAGAGAAGGTGTTGTGTTGTGTGTGCGGTGGTAGTGCTTGTGTCGTGTGTGTGTTGTGGTGGGGCGCGTGCGTGTCTGTGTTGTGTGAGAGAGGAAGAAGAGAAGAGAGAGAGAGAGAGAGGTGTGTGTGTGTGTGTGTGTGTTTCGTGTGTGGTGTGCGATGTGCGTGTGTGCACGTGTCAGGCAGAGAGAGAGAGGTGGCGAGGTGTGTGTGAGCGCGTGGCCGCGCTGCGGTGCGGATGTGTCTGTGCAGTGTGTGTGTGTGTGTCGGTGTGTGTGTGTGTGAAGAGAGAGAGAAGAGAACAGAGAGAGGTTGTGTTGTGTGTGTGTTGTGTGTGTGTTGTGCGGGCTGTTCATGGTGGTTGTGGTGAGAGACACCCGGGGAGAGAGAGAGAGAGAGAGGAGGAGAGAGAGAAGAGACGAGGCTGGGTGTGTTGGTGTGTGTTTGTGCGTGGGTGTTTGTGTGTCGTGTGTCGTCGTGCGTGTGTCGTATTTGGCATGTGTGTGTGTGTGTTCGTGAGGAGAGAGACAGGAGAGAGAGAGGTGTGTGGTGTGTGTGGGTGTGTGAGGAGTGTGTGTGGTGCTTGTGTGTGTGCTGTTGTGTGCCGTGTGCGTTGGTCATGTTGGTGTGTGTGTGCGTGTGAAGAGAGGAGAGAGCTATAGAGAGAGCTGAGATAGAGAAGAAGGAGACGAAGAGGGAGAGAGAGTAAGAGAGAAGAGCGAGAAGGTGTTGTGTGTGATGTGGGTGTGTGTGTGTGTGCTGTGTCTGTGGTGTGTGTGTGTTCAGGTGAACACACACAAAGAGAGAGAGAGAAGAGAGAGAGCAGGTGTGTGTGTGTCGTGTTGTGTGTGTGTGTTGTGTGTGTGTGTGTGCTGTGATGTGTGTGGTGCGTGTGCGTGTTCATGTGTGGTGTGTGTGAGAGAGAGAGTGAGCAGAGAGAGAGAGGTGTGTGTGTGTGGTGTGTTGTTGTGTGTGAGAGAGAGAGAGGAGAGGTGTGTGTGTGTGTGTGTGTGTTGTGCGCGTGTGTGGTGTTGTGGCGTGCGTGCCGTGCGTGCACAGCGGGTGTGTGATGTGTGAAGAGAAAGGAGAGAGGGGTAAGCTGAGGTGTGTAGTGGCGTGTGCGCGGTGCGTGTGTGTCGTGGTGCTGTGGTGAAGCATTAGCTCGTGTGGTGCAGTAGCACACGGTAGGCGGTGCGATGTCGGGTCGTATGCATCGCTGCGTTTGCAGTATATGCGTATAGTGTGTGTTGTGTGATGGTGCTGTGTGTGTTGTGAACCGCGTAGGCCACTTGCGGTATTCGCGAATATGCATCTTTTTAACACCGTTGATACACATAACCTTTCGTATTTATTTCTGGAGGACTTTCCCAATCTATCGATCTTTGGTCCTATTCGACCATCGATCTACTCGGACTTTCGTCTATGGCCTGTAAGCCGCTCCAGGCTTCAGGATGACAGGACTGAATATTAGATGCGCTAAGATAGCTTGCTGAGAGAGAGAGAGAGAGACTAGACAGGAGAAGAAGAGAGACAGGAAGAAGAGAGAGAGGAGAGGAGACGAGAGAGCAGTGAGTAGAAGCTGAGAAAGCGCAAGGGAGATACTGAGGACGGCGGCAGAAGTAGGAAGCTGTCGCGAGATGACAGAGGGACGGGTAAATGGCCGGGTAAAGGTAACGGGCAGGAAATTAAAGTATGGAAATATTTGCATCTATCCTAGCAAGCTTAGGGGATCTGCATTGCCTATTATTCAGCAGGTTCTATCGAAATTAATTTTATTAGCATACAATGCTATAATGCTGAGATACCATCGCCGTGAAGCGCGATATTAAGCGCTTCATTAATCATATTTACACTCATATCCTTTATCATATTAAACAGTCAGACCTGCTTTTAAATAGCGCTCTTTGTATTAAAATACATATTAATACACGAAAATTATTATACTCTTGTGGCGATATTTTGCAGCTGTCATATATACCTATCAGCGACTCTGGGTGTGTCGCGGCATCGTACGTGTACGGGTGTAGTGGCGTGGCATCGACCTACGTACCAACGGCTAATCGTGACACACTGCGAGATATATGGCTCAATTTCTTCGAGTGTTTTACCGGGCGTACGATAAGTCTAATGCTTATGTAAACAGCCACACAGACAACTGACAGCACAGGCACGACAGCACACACTACCGCACACATCATCAAACAGGCACACAAATCAACACAGCAGGCAGCACACATCACAGCCACCACACAGCACACACGACACACACCACACACACACAGCGAGCTGAGTCCTCACAACATTACACAACGCGCACTATCACCCACACAGCTAGGCCACACACCACACTACAGCAGGGCACACACATCATACAGCACATCACTCACACAGCCACACACAGCAGCACACACACACAGCACACACACACAACACAGCACACCACACCTACACATGAGCACAGCAGCCCACACAGCACACACACACACACACAACACACCCACACGGTCGGTACACGACGACCACAGTCACAAGCCCCACTCACAGCACCCAGCACACACACACCACACAGCACAGCATCGACAGCACACACACAGCAGCTACCGCACCACACACACGACAGCATACACTGCATAGCAGCGTCAGGTGTCCAAGGCGTGTGTAAGTATAAGGCGTGTTATTTCAAAGGCGTGTGTGTTAAGAGGTCACTCAGCATATCATCAGTCGAGATTATCCACAGTGTGATGCCTCGATCTTATCACTACGCTTGGTCTTATCCACCGCAGTCAGCGCTCTCCGGCGATTCTGACACGCAGTTGCGTTGTTGTGACTAGTCGTGAGTGTACCGTACCCCGCACAACGAAGTCTGGCTCTCTGGCTACTACACTGTAGAGTATGGGCATGTTGTTTGTGTCAATATATCGATTTTGTTTTATGGCTGATTTTGGCTATATAAGGCATTTCGATTATGGCACATTATAACATTCGATTTATCACCTATAAACATTCGATTTATGCAGTCATCATTATTTGATTCACAGGGGCAATACGAAGTCATTCGAAACTCACGCATTCGAATCATTCATCCATGAATCAATACGTCGAAATCGAATGATAGGATGCGTGAATACGAATGAATCGATGCTTTGAACTCGAATGATCTGCGATGCGTGAATCGAATGATGCGATGCGTGAACGATGATAATCGAAGCGTGAATCGAATCGATTCGTATGCGTGAATTCGAATGAGTTCGATGCGGAATGCGAACTGAGCAAATCGAGATCAATCGATCACGTCATTGCGAATGATTTGGATTGCACGGCATCGACTCGATGCATGCGAATGATTATGTCGACGCGTGAAATGCGAAATGATTCGATGCGTGAAGCTGTAATGATTCGAGCGCGTGAATCGAGATGAATTCGGAATCCCGTGAATCGAATGATTCGGATGCGGAATCAGATGAGCATCGAATCAATTCGGATTCACTATTGCATCGAATCATCGACTTCACCATCGAGATGAGCATCGAATGATTCGATCGCCGTGAACGAATGAATTCGAGTGCGTGAATCGAATGGATTCGGATATCCGGAATGCGAATGATGTCATGGCGAATGCATATCGATTCCACAGCTTATCGAATGATGTTCAGGTCACAGCATCGCATGATGCATCGAATCAATTCGATACAGCGCATCGAAATGAATTTGAATCGAATAGTGAACACAATACACACATAGAGATGTGTGGTTTCGGTTTCTAGGTTTGGGCATGCGCATCAAGGTTGTACGCGTAGTTAGCGCTGCAATCTTCCTTGGCTTGCTCCTCGGCGTCTGCTGCCCTCCTTGTCCTGCCGCTCGCTCCTGAGGCTCGTCTGCTCTCCTTCTCGCTCCTAGCTTCTTCTCCGTCTGGCTCGGCTCCATTCTCCTCTGCTTCTCCTACCGTCTGCCTCCCCCTTCTCCTCCTGCTTCCGACATCCGTCGCTCCTTGTCTATTCCTCGGTGCTGCTGCGGCCTGCTCGTCTGCTCTCTTCTCTCGCTGCTTCTGCTCCGTTGCTCGCTCCTTCTGCCGCCTCTTCTCGCTTGCCGCTGGCCTCCTTCCGCCTCCTGCTCTCGCTCCGTCGCTCCCCTCTCCTCTGGCTTCTGCCTCGCGTCTGCTGCCCTCGCTTCTCGCTCCTTGCTTCTCGCTCAGTCTGCTGGCGCTCACCTATCTCGGCTCTCTGCTCATCCTCGCGTCTGCTCCTGCTCTTCTCTCTGCCGCTCTCGCTCTCGGCGTTCGGCTTCTCCTTCTCTCGCCTGGCTCCATGCTCTCGTCTGCTCCTTTCTTCTCTTGCGGTTCTGCTCGTCCGCTGCTGCGCTACCTTTCCTGCTGCTGCTTCTCCGCTCGCCGCTGCGTCTTCCTTCTCCCCCTGCTCGCTACCCCGTGCTGCCCTCTTCATCTCCGCTTCTCCTCGCCGTCTGCTGCCCTCTTCTCCTCCTGCTCCTCCGTCCGTCTGGCTCCTGCTTCTCCTCCTGCTTCCCTTCCGTCTGCTCCTCCGTCAAGCTCTTCTGTTCCTGTCCCCTGACTTCTCGCGCCTTACCTTCCTACCGCCTCCTCCCTGTCCTACACCTACTCTCCTTCTCCTTCCGCTCCTCATGCTCTGCCTCCGCCTCCTTCTCCTCCTCCTTCTCCTTCTCCTCCTCCTCCTCCTCCTCCTCCTTCTTCTCCGCCTCCTGCTTCTTTTGTAACATCTGTTTTGCATCTATACGTACAGGATAGCGGACAAGAAGCTGTGAATACCCCGGGGGTGAGGATTCCAGCATTGCGATGACGGAGGGAAGCGGCGACAATGACGATTTCATAGCGGATCCGCTTATTGTGTTGATTGTCGGATTATGTCTTACGGCTCTCGTTATTGGTGAGATTGATTCGATTTATCGATTTCTGATGTGTTGTGGTTGATGCTCAGTTCTACGTTTGTGATTCTTGTTCGTGAACGCGTGCTCTAGTTTGTGTTCCTAGTTTGTGTCTATTTGCCTAGTTTCTGTTTATGGTCCTATTTGATTCTGATTTATCTTAATTTTTGTGTATTACATGCCAGTAAATCATCATAAGATATATCACATTAGGAAAGTCTAGTTTGTGTTCCTAGTTTGTGTCTATTTGCATAGTTTCTGTTTATGGTCCTATTTGATTCGAATTTATCTTGATTTATGTGTATTGCATGCCAGTAAATCAACATAAGATATATCACAGTAGGAAAGTCAAGCGTGCTAGTTGAGTTGGTGAATAGCTAACTGATTGAGTAAGCGAATGAGTGAGCGAGAGAACGAGTGTGTGTGAGAGAGAGAGAGAGAGAGAGAGAGAGAGAGAGAGAGAGAGAGAGAGATCTTATCCTAACACAAGCGCGTTTAGTACCACGGAGATTGGCGTTCTTATTCAGGTATTCTCGGCATATACACGTACATGCGCATCAATGGAATCCACCGAACCGAGCGGCACATCAAAGAGGAAGCCGACACAAAGGCGAAAAAAGCCGAAGCGAAAGCACGAGAGGAGGCGCAAGAGAAGAAGCTCGATCGGCAGAAATCTCGCAATGGAACCAAAAGGAAGATTCCTCGGTCCGTTCGGGAAAACGGCGCCGAGGGACTGCGGCGAGCGACGGATGCTGAGCGTGCGGAGAAGCCAACGCGAGGCGCGAATCACGTGGATGTTGCCATAGCGATGACGGATGCATCGCTGGACGTCGGTATCACGTCGCCAAGTGACGTCACCTGGCTTTGATGTTCGCCGACACGTGATCACGTCGTTTATACATGTGCAGCTTCATCGAGCAATTGCGTGTCAAACAAAGAGAGAGAAAGATAGAGAGAGAGCGAGAGAAAGAGAAAGCGCGAGAGTGAGAGAGAGAGAGAGAGAGAGAGAGAGAGCGAGGGAGAAAGAGAGAGGAGAGAGAGAGAGAGAGAGAAGAAGAGAAGCGACGAGAGTAGAGAGAGAGAGAGAGAGA